TTGCCGCCCCCACCCCCGCCGCCCCCGCCGCCTCCTGGTACAGATGGTCCGGTGCCTCCGCCGCCCCCGCCTCTGGGAGGTCCCTCTGATGCCCTTGGAAGGCCCGGCCCAGAGATGGGCCCAGGTAAGTCCACCACCCAGGGCTGGGGGGAGATGGAGGGAGTAGCTTCGGCTTCAGTATCCTCCCGGACCCTCTGTCTAGGGGGTCTCTTACAGCCTCCTGCCTGCCCTGTCAGGCCTCGCTGGGCCTCAGTTCCCTCAAGCCACCCCACCCCCTAACGCCTCAGTGCTCACCATCTCTCCCCTATCCCAGGAGTGAAGGCCAAGAAACCCATCCAGACCAAGTTCAGAATGCCGCTCTTAAACTGGGTGGCCTTGAAACCCAGCCAGATTACAGGCACCGTCTTCACTGAGCTCAATGATGAGAAGGTGCTGCAGGTGAGTGCGGCCCTGCCTTGCTCCCAGTGTGGGCGTCAGAGGAGAGGGGACTTGCCTGGATCATGCTGGGTACTAGTCTTCGCCACCCCATTTTATAGATGAGGACTTGGAGGCCCAGGGATGGGCATTAAGCCAAACTGGGTTAGTGCCTCTAGTAGCTGTGTATCCGGACTCCTCTGGAGGCCTTCCCTCCATCCCTGCAGAGGGGCACATTCCTCCCCCCAGTGTGGTGCCACTCTCCTTCCAGGCCCCTCTCACAGATAATCAGGGCCTCAGCCCTTCTAATTCCACTTTCAGTTTTCCAAAAGGGATGTGTTCTGTTGCCTCCAGGCCATTGCGAATGCTGTTCCCTCTGCCTGGAATGCCCTTCTCTTTCTCCTTTTTACCCCTGGCCAATTCAGCTCTTCCTTCAGCTTTAATGGCTTGGGGTCTGGGTCCCTGGGTGGGGTGCTGCTCATCTTCCTTCTCCTCAGGGCTCCCTGATGAATCCCCCATCAGGGCCGGTGGCCAAGCTGGGTTACTGGTTTGTTTCCCTGCTGGTGGCCTGGTCGAGGCTGGATAGGTGGCTCCAGCACTGAGCACAGTGCTCAGCCAGGAGTGTACCTGCCCCTGGTCCCACCCAGCCCCACCTCCTCTCCCTGCCCCCTCAGGAGCTGGACATGAGTGACTTTGAAGAGCAGTTCAAGACAAAATCCCAAGGTCCCAGCCTGGACCTCAGTGCTCTGAAGAGTAAGGCAGTGCAGAAGGCCCCCACCCAGGCCACGCTCATCGAGGCCAACCGGGCCAAGAACCTGGCCATCACCCTGCGTAAGGGCAACATGGGGGCCGACCGCATCTGCCAGGCCATTGAGACGTGAGTGCCCCTGCTCCTAGGGGATGTGCTTGTGGGCAGCCTATCCCCTCTGTTAGGCCAGGATCCTCAGGCAGGTCCTAGTAAAAGAGCCCCAGCTGTGGGATAGAGCCAGCCAAGCTTCATACCAACACAGGTCAGGGAGGAGGGCCGGGGACCTTGTTCCCATTTTCAGCCTGAGAAAACAGGTCATTGTGTGAGCCCCTGCCCAGACCCAGACGTGCCCATTCCCTCCCTGCCTCCTTGCCCAGCACTCAGCCCAGGCATTTACAGCTGGGCATCTGCCACTGGCACATGATGGGGACCCCAGACTTCCCAGCTCCCAGTTTTCCTTGATTCTTATCTCTTGTTCCCTGAAGCTGTTGGCAGATAGCAAATACTGAAGTTCATTTATTCACTCAAGGGGGAAGGGTAGTTTTACTCTCAAGAACTGGTGGATGTGGAGTGATACTTACCCGCCCCCCTGTCCCCCCCCAACCCCCAATGCGCGCTCAAGGTACGACCTACAGGCCCTCGGCCTGGACTTCCTTGAGCTGCTGACCCGCTTCTTGCCCACGGAGTATGAGCGAAGCCTCATCGCCCGCTTCGAGCGGGAGCAGCGGCCGATGGAAGAGCTGTCGGAGGAGGACCGCTTCATGCTGCGCTTCAGCCGCATCCCGCGCCTGCAGGAGCGGATGGCCACGCTCACCTTCCTGGGCAACTTCCCGGATACTGCCCAGCTGCTCATGCCGGTGTGGGCGGGGCAGGCAGGGCGATGTGGGCGGGGCAGAGAGGGCGTGGCGCCCGGGTTGGGATGGGGAGGAGGCAGCTAGCTCCAAGAAGGCTTCTGGGAGGGCTTCAGCCTCCTATGTATCGGCTTGTCCCCCACCCCGCCCCAATTTACCTTGTCTCCCCCATCCCACCCCTAGCAACTGAATGCCGTCATTGCAGCCTCAATGTCCATCAAATCTTCTGACAAACTCCGCCAGATCCTGGAGGTGAGAGCCCAGGGCAAGGGTCTGGGAGGAGGGGCCCACCCACGACCCCTTGCCTGATCTGGGTCATGTGAGAGGGAGACACGGGCCCTGCCCTGCACACCTTGGATGCAACAAATGTGGTGTTCCCACCTCTCATATACAGGCTCAGAGGGACATACTGAGGTGGGGGTGGGGGCTATGTCTACAACAGCGCACCTCAGACCCCACCCCAGGGTCAAGCCCCCTCCAGGTACTGCAGTGTGGTTAGAGCAGAGTACGCGCACCTGCTCAGGGAGTCTCAGGGAACCAGCATCAATAGCTGTTAGAAAAGCTGAGACCTCACAGCCTTGGAGGAGATGTCGGCAGCAGAGTTTTGGCTGGGAATCGCAGAGGACAAAATTGGGTGTGCCATGGTGTTAGGTGTGCACATGTCAAATATGTACACACACATGTACATGTGTCACAGACTTGAGGGGTCCACGCAGGAGTGCAGTGGGGACTGAGTGTAGGCTTGCTCTTTGCCACCTTTTCCACTTGTGCAGTTTATTCTTCAGGGGGCTGCTCAGCCTGGCCCCCTGCTGAGCTCTGCCCCCCCCCCCCCCCCCCCCCCCCGCCTCTCCCAGATCGTCCTGGCCTTCGGCAACTACATGAACAGCAGCAAGCGTGGAGCAGCCTATGGCTTCCGGCTCCAGAGTCTGGATGCGGTACGGGGGCGAAAAGGGGTGTGCTGGCCTGGGGGATGGAGGATGCCTGGTGGCCTGTGGCTTACAAGAGGTCCCCATGCAGCTGCTGGAGATGAAGTCGACCGATCGCAAGCAGACGCTGCTGCACTACCTGGTGAAGGTCATTGCTGAGAAGTACCCACAGCTCACAGGCTTCCACAGCGACCTGCACTTCCTGGACAAGGCCAGCTCAGGTATGGAGGGGGAGGGGCTCAGCCCTGGGAACTGATATGTGTTGGGATAAAGGGGCCACAGGATGTAATTGGACAAGAATGCTGCCTCTCTGATTCCCTGCCTCTGTACTGTCCCACCCCCCAGTGTCCCTGGACAGCGTCCTAGGGGATGTGCGCTCCCTGCAGCGAGGTCTGGAGTTGACCCAACGGGAGTTTGTGCGGCAGGATGACTGCGTGGTTCTCAAGGAGTTCCTGAGGGCCAACTCACCCACCATGGATAAGCTACTGGCAGACAGCAAGACGGCTCAGGTGGGCTGTGGCTGGCGCGGCCCTGGAGGTGGGGAGGCTGGGGTGGAGTATAAGGAATTACTTAGTGGCATTGGGTAGCCATGGCCTGGAGGAGCGTGGCCACAGCAGGGACACCTTGGTGGATGGAGCAGGAATGAGGGGCCATGTGCCAGGAGGAGCAGAGATGAAGTGGCTAGTGTGTAAGGGGGTCCATGGTGATGGGGCTGACAGGCTGTGCCCACAGGAGGCCTACGAGTCTGTGGTGGAGTACTTCGGAGAGAACCCCAAGACCACGTCCCCGTCCATGTTCTTTACCCTCTTTAGCCGCTTCATCAAGGCCTACAAGGTATGTGTGTCTGGTGGGCAGGCTGGGAGCCCTGCAGAGCATTACAGCCTCTCCACCTGGGCATTGGGAGGGGCGGGATAGTGGAGGGAGGGCTCCCTCATGGAGACTGCTTCGGCCCCTCAGAAAGCTGAGCAGGAGGTGGAACAGTGGAAGAAAGAAGCAGCTGCCCAGGAGGCAGGCGCCGACACCCTGGGCAGAGGGGAGCCCCCAGCACCCAAGGTAGGCAGCTGCCCCTGAGCTTGGCACCGGGTTGCTGAGAGGCTTGGGATCCTCATCCCAAAGATCGGGCCCTCCTCCACACCCTCATTTTTATGGGCAGACCCTGCCCAAGGCGGAGACAGTGCTCCAGTAGCCTGGGATGGGAATGGGCTCCCCTCTTCCTGCTGTGGGGGACCTGGCAGATGTCTTAGGGTTTGGTGTCATGGAAAGAGGGGGTCCTGGGAGCTGGAGCTGTTTACCTTCCCTCCCCACCACCCCCCCACAGTCCCCACCCAAGATCCGGCGGCAACAGATGGACCTCATCTCTGAGCTGAAACGGAAACAGCAGAAGGAGCCACTTATCTATGAGAGTGACCGTGATGGGGCCATTGAAGATATCATCACAGGTGAGGGCTTGGCCAGGTCTATCCTGCCCTTGGTCTGTCTTTCTATGCTGTCTTCCAGTCCCCTCACCCCCACCCTAGGGGTCTGGCTGCCTCACTGCCTCTTGCTACCTTTTCTGTCTTTTTCCTTTTTCCTTTCTCTCCCCCCTCCTCCCTCCCAACCCTCAGTGCTCAAGACGGTGCCCTTCACGGCCCGCACCGGCAAGCGGACGTCCAGGCTCCTCTGTGAGGCCAGCCTGGGAGAGGAGATCCCCCTCTAGCCCCCCAGGTACCCCGATGGCCTGGCCTCTGATCCGACTGGCTGCCCACAGCCCTGGGGGCCCTTGGGGGGACTGAGTCCTGTGCCCTCTTCTGGGCCATGCATGGCTGGGATGTGTTTGAGGGGTGTCTGGTAAACATAAACAGGCCCCCTCCCACATGTACGCAACCTGGGTCCCTAGAAGGGTGAGGCCTGTGCCCTAGAGTGGTGCTCCCAGCGCTGGGCAGACTCCTGAAGGGTAAATTTGTCTCCTCTCGGCTGCCAGATTTGCGAAACCAGCCCTACATCCGCGCAGACACAGGCCGCCGCAGTGCTCGCCGGCGCCCCCCGGGACCTCCCCTGCAGGTCACCTCCGACATCTCGCTGTAGCCGCTATTTCCGAAGATGGACTCTGCGGGTTGGGAGGGGACTGGGGGCAGGGGCAGGCCGGGGCTCAAGGAAGGCGGTCCTCAGCTCGGCTGGGCCGGGCAGCCTCCTCCGCCGCTGTCCCCAGCCGTGGGCCCACCTCAAATGGGCCGGCGCACTCTCATCTTGCCACAGGGGGCAGCATCGCCGGCCCCTCCCCCTACATGCTGCTTGCAGCACCCTTTTCCCCCCAATAGCCATACTTAGCCTCAGCGAGAGCCTGGCCTGTAACTTATAAAGTGCAACCTCGTGACCCCCGACCCCAAGTTCCAGGGACTCTCCATGGACCTTATTTTTATACAAGATTAATAAAGACGTTTGCAAAAGATCTGCGTCCGCTCTGTGCCCGCCCCGTGCCCGCCCCCACCTCGCGCAGCCTGTTTCGTCCAGCAAACGCTTTACTTGTATAAGTTCTTCATAGCAGGTCTCTGCAAAGAGGCTGGCGAAGGGGAGAAGGGCTGCTTCTGCACTAGAGTTGGGGGGGAGGGAGCCAGCTTCGTGGGTCCCACAGACTCTAGTGGCTGGCCCACGAAGCCTGCGGGAGGGCAGAGGGGGCGTGCGGAGGGTCAAACCTGCAGCTCCAGTTAGAGACGCTGGATTAACTACACCTCAGTCCTCCCTTCCGCGAGCCCTGCCCTATTTCCGCCAGTCGCGTCTCCTACCTAGGTACCCTGCCCCTTTTTCTTACGCCCCGCCCTATCCTTAGCCGCGCCCGTGAGTGATCTCAGATGACATCTCCGCCTCGGTCTCCGCCTTCCTTGCCTCTATTTCTCGGAGTCCTACTCCAGCTCTTCGCCTGCCCACCCCCCTCCCCTCCCCTCCCCTCCCCGCCTGTCACGTCCCATCTGCAGCCCCGCCCCACGCCGTAGCTACGCCCACAGTCTCCCGGTCCCGCCCGTTATCTGCATGGCCCGCCCCGCCCCGCCTCCTTCCCCGGCTTCACCTTGGCTGGGCGGCCGCGGGGTGGGCCCCAGCTTGGGGCGGCTGGGCTGGTAGCACTTGGGAAGTCGGACGAGGGGGCGCGGGGCACAGTTCCGCGTCTTGCGTTCTGGCCGCATCCGCCGGGCCAGGTTCGGTATCTGAGAGTAGGGGCCGTGCGTCCCTGGGGTGGGGAAGCCGGTGGAGGAAAATGTGGGGCTGGTCTTGAGCGCAGGCCCTGAGTGAGAGTTCCACCCCGCCCGCCCCGCGTGGGTCCCCGCCCAGCCCGGGGCACACCCGCTTTGTGCAAGCTGAGCAGCGAGCGCGCCAGCTCGGCGTTGGAGAGGCCGCTGAGGCGCGTGGCCTGGCAGAAGAAGGTGAGGTCCGCGTGAGCGCGCGCGGTGCGGCCGTGGCCGCGGGAGCGGCCGTTCCAGCCTGAGTTCAGCCGCAGAGCCCGCTGCTTCGTGGAGTAGTAGCTTGAAGGAGAGAAGTGGGGCAGCCGCCTCAGACTCTGCCTCCCCCAGCCCTTTCCATCTCACGTGTGAGGAAACCCAAGCAGGACAGGAAGCCACTTGTCTCTGGCCAGGGGCAACTTGGCGCCCAGGAAACTGACCCAGAATTCAGGGCTCCTGTCTGTGGGGCAGGAACTTCAGGGGACCCCCGCATGGGGCAGAGTCTGCTCCCCCCATCCTGGGCCCTGCAGCTGGGTACAATTGTGCCCACCTCATCACCTCCTGCGCCGACTTGGAGGGCACGAAGCCCTGGCTCATGAGCTTGAACAGTATCTCTAAGAACAAGGTCTGCAGGCCCTGGGGGTCACAGACCCGGCTGTTCCTCACCTGGCCTGGGGGCAGAGAACATGGGGAAGGATAAGGAGGAGGCTCCCCCAGGCCAGGCCCACCCCTGCCCCACCAGCAGTCCCCTCACCCAAGCACTGAGCAAGGCGATGGCTGTCGGTGAGGACACCCAGGAAGTCTTTGAAGTTTACAGTTCCATCACCTGGGAAGAGAGCGAGAGGAGTGGGTGCTGTGGGTGCCTGCCCCTGCAGAAGGCCGACCCTGCATATGCAGTAGGGGCTTGCCAGCAGTTCAGGCATTAGAGAATCCACTTCTGCCTCTAGCCAAGGGTGGACGCTGATTTGAGTGGGGGATAAGTAGCCCTTGCCCTGGGGGAGCCCCAAGTCAGGATGAGGATTAACACAGCAGAAATGTTTAGGGGCTATCGGATAGGCGTGTAGATCAGGGCAGGCTTCCTGGAAGAGGGCACTTTAAAATAGGACCAGGCCAGGATTTTGTGGACAAGGGAGGCGTTTTTCAGAGCTAGAGGTGGGAGAGGGCAGGGATGGGGTACCCACGATCCAAGTCTGCCTGCCGCAGAGCCTCACACATCTCCTGTGGGCTCAGCTGGATACCCACGTTGTGCAGGGCAGCTTTCATGCTGCGCATGTCTATAGCGCCTGTCGGGCTGGAGCTGAACAGTTTGAAGATATCCTGGAAGGCTGGTGGTGGGGGGGTGGCGGGCGGAGGGGGAAGGCAGCAAAGTGAACCACACTCACAGGTACACTGAGATCCTCCCAGGCTAGCTCTCAGAGGGGACTGAAGACTTGGGTCACTCCAGACCCTGGGCAATATAACTTCTAATATAAAGAACAACAGCGGCTGCTGCTTGTTGGTGCTTGTTAATTGCCCATTCAGTTCTCATGTCCAGAACTCACATTTGGACATGTTTATGTGAAAAACATTCAAAACTCATGTCCAAGGTCATGTCACAAGTAGGGGCAGTGCCGGGCTGTGGCCTCGGCAGTCTGGCTCTGGAACTACAGTGCTCTGAGGCCCCAGGAGCTCCACTGGCCCCTGGCATGTAGCAGGTACTGAAAATTATTGATGATGAATAAAATGATTCTGCTTTGAGATGCCCATGCCAATATTAGTATATAATATTTGGGAGGGTATTGGAGCCCCAAATGCAGGAGTGGTTCCTTCTAACCCTACCCTCACAGCCCCAGACCCCAGGGGGACAGGGAACTCAGAGTCTTTTTTTCCACCCTTTCTCCAGATTTCCCTACTCCCTTCCTCTTTCCATCCTGTTCATCCATGCACCATCCAAATCCCTTCCTATCCACCAATCCATCCCTCCGTCCTTCACATACACATACACATCCATGAGCCCCAGAACTGTAGAGATAAGCAGACTAGACTGGCATGGAGGGAAGGTTCCAATATAATCACAAGCTTCTTGCAGCTCTAGACTCTGGGCAAGAAACCTCCTGAGCACCCCCCAATTTTCCTCCCTGCTCTCAGCTCTGGTGCCCTTACCTGCTAGCTGCTGGGGTGTCAGGAGTAGCAGGTCCTCGACTGCAAAGCTGCCTCAGGGGGAAGAGGTTGGAAAGGGCTTAGCACTTGCTGCAGAGAGATGCCAGGGCCAGGCATCTCTTACCTAACCCTAAACCCAGCACCGCAGGCCTGGCCTCCAGTCCCTGCCCTCACCTCGGAGACCTGGTGCCTGGGCCTGACTGTACTGAATGGGTAGCCGCAAGGCCCTTGAACTCTCTGGCCCTCCAGGGGGCCTGCTTAGCCCCCGTGGCCATGGCTGCTGCTGGCTCCATCTGGGTCAGCAGGGCAGTGCCCCACTGCAGCCTTCTCTTCTGTGTCCTGCTGGTCTGCTCTGCTCCTGGGTCTTGTGTGAGCAGTCTTTGAGGATTCTGCACAGGCCTTGGAGGCGAGAAGACAAGGCCAAGGGGCCCAGCCCACTTGAGTGCTCAGTCTCCAGGGGACCAAGGACCAGGCCGGGGGTGCACAGCTCCACCTCCTCCCAGGATCCCCCATGCCAGCCTGCACCCACAGTCCTCTATCCAGGGGATTCTGGGGGCAGTAGCTTGGAGTAGTAGTGGCCCTCCCCAGCCCTGGTCACCTGTACATTCTCTGTGCCGACCGAGGTCTCTTGATTTTCTGCCCTCTGCTGCCTGGAAGGCAGAGTCACAGGCTCTGAGGCTGGTCTGCACCCCAGGCTGCAGCCCCCAGGTTGGCTTTGGGGTGGAGTTTAACATCTTTTGGCAGGGGTACACTCTCTCCCCGCGGCTGGCCCGCTCCTCCCTGCTGGAGCACCTGCTGTTTTATTCTTTTGAGTTTCTGCCTCCTTTAAGGCACCTGAATTTGAGATTCCGCTCCGGAAGCTAACACAAGATGGCAGTGCCCGAGGGGAGAAGCAGGCCCCAGACTCCTGAAGTGAGGACGTGGGAGAGCAGGGTCCATCCCAAGGTGGGAATGTGGCCCACCTTACCCAGGTCCCCTGGGAGGGAAGGATTCTCTTCCCCACATTTTAAAAAATACTCCAGGAAGATGAGTCCCAGCAGCCTAACGACACTTCTGGCCCAGCCCCTCCCCAGACACTCACCTCTGCATCTCCTCCTCATCTCTCCCTCCAGCCTCCTGCCCCCTCTCCTCTGGCCCGACCCATTCTAAACTGCTACCGCTTCCTAATCCCACTCTCCCGGGTCCTCTCAGGCGGGGCAGGCTCTTGAGGCGCTGCAAGGCTTGGCTTTCACCGACAGGGAGTCTTGGCCCGGAGTGGGTCTCAAGGCTGACCAGTGTGCTGCCCCCATCTCTTCCTCCCGGACTTCCCTCTTCATGCCCATGTCCATCCCTGTGCTCCAAATTCCCTTCCCTCCTTTGCTGCCATCTCTCCTCTTCCAGAAGCTTCCCCACATTGTCTGTCCTTCCCTGACGTGGAAAGGCTTGTGTGCATGTTTAGTACAGGTGTCTGGGTCACAGGCGCGTGTGTTGATATGTGTTTGTGCACGTGGCATGTGCTTCCTCTGTGTGTGGATGTGTTATGTGAGTGCCTGTACGTGAGGTATGTTGGTCAGCTGATGGTGTGTGTGTGTGCGCGCGTGTGTGTGCATGTGTCTGGGCTGCGTGCACCATTACACATGGGCTTCGTCCTACAGTTTGAGGTACCTCCAACTCAAGGCTGTGGGCCCCTGGAGGGCCAGCCCTTTGGCTTCCTTCTTCCCCTCCTTCAAGGACCCCATCCTTTCCCCATGCCAGGCCTTCCCAGTGGAGAGAAGCAGGAAGAACTTCCCTCAGACTTGCCTTCTTTCCCACCCAGCCCTACCCGCAGGACGTTCTCCCCTCAGATGATCCCAACTTGTCCCTGGCTTCAGGCCAAGAGGAATCCCCATTTCACCAACTAAGAAACGGAAGCCTCAGAGGAGGCACTGAGGCCTCCCCGAGACTGGTGATGAGTCTCTGCTGCTGGCTTAGAGGTCTGGAGAGGTGTGAGTGAAGTGGAACTACCCGGGGGCAGTGAGCAGGGGACAGAACGGGCAGCAGAGCCCTCAGGGGGCAGGTGGGGCAGGTGGGGCTGGGGCAGCTAAAAAATGGGAGTGGCATCCCTGAAAAATCAACACTAGGACGCCGCAGCCAGGTGAGCTCACTGGACCAGGAGCGTCTGCACAAAAGGTCTGAGCCGGGGGCCAGCACTGGAGGTTTTACTGGTTTTGTCTAGTCATTTCTCTGGGGAAGTTGGGGATGACAGCTTAAAATGGATTTTCAGCAATAATGGACTCCCTTTCTTGGTTCCCGGCACCGAGCTGCAACGCAAAAGAGAGAATGTCACTTGGGCCGTCCCCCAGAGGCCTCTCTGAGGAGGGCACGGGGTTAAGGGGGCCTCTTCTTGCTGCACGCTGATGGGCAGCTGCCGTTCTGTATCCATTCATCACCAGGAAGCAAGAGGTGCTGGAGAACCCTGTTCCCTCCTTCTCTGCTCGATGGAGGTGTCCCGGGCCCAGGGATGGGGCCTTCAGGTTCTCAGAGGGCAGACACCAGATTGAGCATTTCCACTGGGGGTGAGACATCTACCCTCTGAATGGGAAGCTTCCTAATGCTACAATGGTTCTTCCCATTTTGAACCCAGGTCCCCACCTGAGCCCTGGAGTGCTCACCCTCCATGGTCCCCTGGCCTCCTCTAGCCCTGGCCTTGGCACTGCACCTCAGTCCACCGGAACCTGGTTTCCAGCAGCCTTTATGAGGTCACTGAGGGTTGAGACGTCACGGCCCATCCCATGCCCTACTCAGCCCCTCATTCCACTGTTCCTCACCCCCACCAGCTGTGTGAAGAACGGCCCACCCACACATCCTAGCACAGCCCCCGCTTGCAGGGAGCTGTAGGCCAGCCTCGCTTACTCGTTCATGGCTCTTTGCAACCTAGGGGACATGGTTGAGGGCTGGAGAAGATTCACTTCCCCTTCGATGGTGGCCCTCTTGACCCCCGGCTTGCTGAAGTCAAAGGAAGGGCACGGGACATTCTCATCTCCCTGCTTCCAAGCTTTTTGCGGCTCCCCGGCTTCAAGTGGTTTCTCCAGCTCCTCAGTGGGCTCCTCCCGCTCTGGCTTCTCCATGGCCGGCTGGGTCTCCTCGGTGGGCTCCTCCCGCTCTGGCTTCTCCATGGCCGGCTGGGTGGTGGGATCCACGGCGGGCTCTGTGGAAGGCTCCATGACCTTCTTGGGTGGATCTTTGATCATGTGCTCCAAGTTGAGCAAGTCTACCTTGCCGGAGGAGGCCATGGCCAGGGAAGTTGCGAAGTTGATCAGCTCTGCCAGGCTAAGGCCTGGTGAGAGATTGGAGGAAGATAGGCAGGGGCTTGGCGGCTGCTGGGAGCCTGTGGCTGGAAGCGCTGGCTGGGGGCTGGGGTTCTGCAGCTGCTTCTCAGAGCACAAGGTGTCCTTGAAGACCAACTCCTGGTCCGAGCAGCTGGTGGTCTCACTCATGCTCTTCTTCCTAGGCTGCATGCTGATCGCCCGTTGCAGGCTGTGTTCTGAGGCCTGGATGAGCTTGTCTGCCCGGAAGAGGTGCTTGGAGGTCTGCACACGGATGGAGCGATGGTCGGGGTACACCTGGTCCTCCTCTGTGGAACTCAGGTAGCTGGAGTTTGACCTCACACTCCACTGGCTCATGTCCTGCTGCATTAGCCTCTCCATGTAGCGGGGGAGGCACTCTATCCTGTACCCCTGTTGCTCAGGGTCTTCACTGCAGGACTCCAAGTCAGCCACCTTCAAGTTGGGCCCCATGTCCAGCTCTTCCTCGGGCTCCAGCGTGAGTGCTGGGCACAGAGCAGACGGCAGCAATGCCTCGGGCTCCGGTTTTGCCTCCAGCTCCGGTTCTGGGTCCAGATCCGGGTCCAGGTCTGCTTTGTGGCTGGGCTCCAGCTCTAGCAATTCTTTCTCCAGCTGTAAAGTTTCAACTGAAAGCTCAGGAGTCCCCTGCCCCTGAGGTCCTCCCTAGTGACAATTCCCTGCCCCGCCCCCTCCTGCCCCCTTGCCCCCACCCCCACCCCTATTTCCCTACTACTCACTTCCTCCACAGCTGCCGCTTCCAAGATATCTGCCTGGGGTAGGGAGGTGGTGTGGGCAGGTGGTGAGGGTGGGTGTGTGTCAGCGTGCCAACATTGGCTGGCACTGGGGTCCCAGAATTGTCAAGGGAAGGGGCTGGTCAGGATTTAGGGAAGACGGGCCTCGAAGAACTCTGCCCCTTGCCTACTACCTCCCCATAAAAGGCGCCCCTGCCCACTGTTACCTCCATCTCATCTTCCTCTTGTGCCGCCTGGAGCTGGTATTGGTTTACATCACCCCTAAGACAGAAGGACAAAGTGGGTGAGAGGGCTCCAAGGGGTGGGGGATGGGGTGGCTTCAGAGGGAAGGGGGTCTCTGTACAGGGTCTGGCAAGATGTCCCCAACTCATCCACTCCCCTGATTGTCCCCACTCCCACCAAGAATCCTGGAGGAGTGTTCTCAAACTTTAGAGAGTTTAGGAAGCCTCTGGAGAGCTTGCCAAGTGGCCCCCCACCCCACAGAGGGATCCAGTTGGTTGGAGGTAAGGCCCAGGACTCCTCATTTTAATCAAGCATTCCCGTGAGCCGATGCAGCTCATTTGGAGACCCAGTGCCCAGAAAGTGGCTCCCAAAGAGGGAGTAGTCCCAAGCGATGCCCTCCCTGACTGGCAGACCCAGCTCGCAGATCTGAAAAGCAGAGGTGTGTATGGAGGGCCCCTCGGTTCTTGTCTGCAGTTTGCTGCCGTCTCGGCCCTTGCCCTTGCTGCTTAGCCACTGTGACCCCCTCTCCTTCCTGAGGCGTCTGCCCACCCCACCTGGGACAGCTCTGTCCTTGCAGCAAGGCAGCTCTAAGGGGTCAGGTCCCTTCCATGTCCCTCGGTGTGCCCCACCACCCCTCAGTCTTCCTCCAGCATCAGGGGCTGGAGGCAGAAGCAGAAGGGGGATGGTAGACACGCCCGCCCTGCCTTTTGGCCTGGATACTGCCCTTGGGGAGATTTTGGCAACAGGCAAGATGGAGGATCCTGCATTGGGAGGTACATGCAAACTTGGCAGCAGTGGCAGGGGGTAGGTTGGTGGTCCTGGAGGGTGGGGAGAAGTCCTGTGATGATGGGGACTGGTTCTCACTGTGTCTCCATAATGTCCACCGACGCCTTGCTACAGCAGGGGAATCCACTGGCACCTGGCAGGGAGAAGGGGGTGAGGGCCGGAGAGCTGCAGGTCGGGACAGTCCCTGAGGAGTTCTGCAGCCCAGGTGGTGGTGCTGCTCCAGCCCCTCCTCCCTCCCTGTCCCTCATCTCAGCCCATTTGCCTTCCCCTCTGCTATCCTGCCCCTCATCTCCCTGCTTTCCCTGGCCAGTGTCACCAGCCCTATCCCCCACATCTGCTCCCCTCCACTTGCCACGTTGGCCTTTCCTCCAGCTCTCCCTGCTCCATCACCATCCTCCACACAGGTGAATGCTAACAGGATTCACTTCCATTTGTTGAGTGCTACTAGCCCAGGCATTGTCTTGAGCACTTTCTGTGCTTTATCTTATTGATTCAACACAAACAAGGAGAAGAGTTTCACTTGCCCAAGGTCCCTCAGCTGATCGTTGCTGAAGTCAGGACTTGAATGCAAGTCTGACTCAAGAAACTCTTAACTCCTCTGCCCTGCATGCTCTCCTACCCAGGAGCCTGTAACTGTATGGGCTCCCCTCTCCTGCCTCAGAGGAACCTTCCTCATCTCCCTCCGTTCCTGCCCCTCTGCCCCCTTTCTCCCTTCTCTCTGGCCGGTCTTCAGCTCTGCCGTTCACCCTCATCCTGGCCTCTCCTACCCTGAAGTCCATCCATTCTTTCCCCAGCTTCTCACCGCACCACACCCTGGGGTCTATCTCCAACTCCAGGCCAGGGTTCTCATCCCGGGGGCTTGTTCTGAGGTGATGCTGACATCTGGTGATTTATGAGCTCAGATCACCTTCTGCAGAGGAGACTGAGTGACTCCTAGGGGGAGGTCCCCTCACCCCAGGCCCCTCCCTGGAGGCTTGTATCTTTTATTACAGAAGCTTTTTTTCCTTCTCTGGGTGTCCTCAGGCTGTCCCATTCTCTGTTTCCCCAGGTAGAGGATGGGGTTGATGGTGGGGCCATCGTGACAATGGGCAAGCTGGGTCCCCACCAGCCTGGAGTGTGGCAGGAAGTGACAGCCTTGGCTCTGGCTGAGAAGAATTGCTCCCAGGATTATCGGAAGGATCAGAATGTGCTGTGGTCTCTTCCCGTAGATGTAGAGGTGAGGAGCATCCCTGCAGGCCTGGTCCCAGGCCTGGGATTTGGGCCCCTCCATGTTCAGCCTGGGCCTCGAGGTCTGGGATCAGCTGGATGATAGGCTGGGACGGTAGCGCCATGGACAGGCTCCCAGTGGCCAGCTCAGTGGCCTCTTCAGGACCCTCCACCTTCTTGACCACCATGCTCCCTTGGCTTCCTCCCCATGGCTCTCTTCATCTCCAACTCCACCTGCCCCAAGGGCAGCTCTTCCCCGGGCTTCTGACCTCAGAGTCTTCCCTTGCTTGCTTTCCAAAGTGTCCTGGGCAATTTAATCAAAACCCAGAGCCTTAACCCTTCCATGACCAGCAACTGGCTGTGGTTAGGAGAAGAAGGTGTTATGGGGTGAACCTCATAGCAGCCCTGGGGGTTGGAAGCAAAAGCCTGAAGTCAACTCAAATTGGGGCCTCTGTGCCCAACTTGGGAATGTTCTATCAGGGATTCAAGTGACATTCTGTAGTATGTGAAATAATTTCCATTCCCAATTGCTGGCTGCTAGTACATAGAAATGTATCAATCTTGTATCCTGCAGCCATCCTAAATTCCTGTTAGCTTCAATTTTTTCTTCTTTTTTGTAGATTCCATAGGGTTGTCTACGTGAAATAATGTTTGCAACTCAAGACAGTTTTACGTCTTCCTTCCCAATCTGGACGTCTCTTATTTCCTTTCCTTGCCTTATTGCACAACAATTGCCAGTAGAATGTTGGATAGAAATGAGAGTGGACATCCTTGCTTTGCTCCTGAGCTTAGGGGGAAGTCATTGATGTTTCCCCATGAAGTACAATGTTAGCTGCAGTTTTTCTCTTCGATGCCCTTCATCAGGTTGAGGAAGTTCCCCCCTATTCCGGGTTTACTTAGTTTTTAAGTAGGAAGGGATGTTGGGTTTTGTCTGAGGCTTTGTCTGCATTTATCAAGATTAGCACATGGTTCTTCCTTTGTATTCTGTTATATATTATATATGTTATGTTGTTAACATATGGATAATGTTATATATTATTCTGTTACTAATTCTTTTGTGTTCTGCTTATGGTTAAATAAATGGTTAAATCAATCTTGCATTCTTAGGATAAACACAGTTGGTCATGATGTATTATCTTTTTCTGTATTGTTGAATTTGATTTGCTGGGTTTTTTTTAGAATGTTCACATACCTGTTCATGAGGTATATTAGTGTGTAACTGTGTATAAAATTGCTATTATTTCTTCCTTATGTTTGGTAGAATTCACAAGTGAAGCTTGTGAATCTCGGCCTGGAGTTTCCTTGGGGGAAGACCGTTAATTACAAATTCAACTTTAAAAGATAGACACAGGGATATTTAGCTTGTCTATTTTTCTCTTTTATTGTGGCAAAATACACATAACATAAAATTTCCCATTTTAACTATTTTTAAGTTTACAGCTCAGTGGCATTGAGTATATTCACATTGTTGTGCGACCATCACCACTATCCATCTCCAGAATATTACTTCTTCTTGAGTGAGCTTTTAGAGTTTGTACTTTTTAAGGAATTTGTCTATTTCCTCTAAGTTGTCAAATTTATTGGCATAAGTTATTCATAATATTCCCTATCCTTTTCATATCTGTAGAATCTGTAATGATACCACCTCTTTCATTCCTCATATTGGTGATTTTTTTTCTTCTTTCTTTTTTTCTGTTCAGTTTGGCTAGAGATTTATCAATTTTGGTCATCTTCCCAAATCAACTAGAGATATGTCTGGTACCTGACTGATCATCCTAAAGTGACATCTGCCAGCCAATAAGTCCTGCAACCACAGGCCCCCAGTCAGCTTTTTATGATTTTACTCCTAAATACGGACAACCGAGCAGCACCAGACATTTGAGGAAACTGCCAACATGCCAGTGACAGACCAAGAGAAAAGATGACTTCAGAGCGTCAGGGGTAATTTGGGAAACAGAAGTGAGCTTAAATAAAAACTCTCATCATCTTCAGAGATTCAGAGATGAAGGTATTCAACAATATATATTGCATCCAAAAAACAAGAACAGGATGCTATTAGAAAAGAATTTGAGGAAAGAAAGAGCGCTTTTTTTTCCTGCTTTTTCTCCCCAAATCCCCCCGGTATATAGTTGTGTATTTTTTAATTGTGGGTCCCTCTAGTTGTGGCATGTGGGATGCTGCCTCAGTGTGGCCTGATGAGCGGTGCCATGTCCGTGCCCAGGATCCGAACCGGTGAAACCCTGGGCCGCTGAAGCAGAGTGTGTGAACTTAACCACTTGGCCACAGGGCCAGGCCCAAGAAAGAGCTTTTTGGCAAATAAAATACAAAGAATCTTCCGAGAAAGTGAAACCAAAATATCAAGACAATGTGAGAAAAACAGATCAATTGGAAGTCCAATTCTGAGTTACAGAAAGGAGATCCTAAAAGAATAGAGAATATGGAGAAGAAAAGAGAAATAAAAAATTCCCTGAGCTCAAGGATGTCATTGGCTTAAAAAGGTTCACTGAATACCCAGCACTACAGTTGTCAAAAGATCCTTGCTGTGAAAGGTCATCGCATCAGGCGTAAAAAAATTCCTAAATACTTCTAAAGTGGAAAAACCAGTCACCTACAAAGGGAGGAGAATCATACTGGCAGCAGAGTTAGCAATAATTGCTGCCTTCAAAATTCTGAGGAAACTGGTTTTTAACCTGGAATTTTATATCTATCCAAACTATCATTTCAACAAGGAAGGACACAGAAAATTTACCTCTTCTTTTTTTTCAGAAAGTTATTTGAGGATGTGCTAAAGCAAAATAAAGGTAGAAAAGAAGAGAGACAGGAAGGAAATAGTGTGTCTACCCCAGGAAAGAAGCTAAGTCCCAGGATGCTAACTGTACAGAGGCCTAGAACCAGTACACATTGGTGCAAGAAGATGGAGGGTCCTGGGCAGTAGATCTCTGAAATAAAAAAACCTGATAGAATAGTTGACTAGATGTAGAGGCTGAAGAAAACTAAGACTATGATAAAACCAAGAGCACAAGGAAAAGGCAACTACAAACTCCAGGAAAATCAAAAAGCTGTATGAGAAAGAGAAGGTAACTGTGGGCGCCTTTCCTGCCTCTGCAGTGAACAGTAGTTATGTCGTCACAATAATGTAAATCCTGCTGACTAACTTTCAACTTGTAGAATCAACATATAGACAACATTCGGAAAACATAATTGTGGTTGTGGGACAAGGTATATGTTACGAACCTTGATATTTTGAAAAAAAGACAGGTTAGAGTCTTTGGGAGGTGGAGAGCAGGGAGGAGGGAGAGCTGACGGGAAAGGTAAGGGCACTAACAACTTCATCTTACTCTGTGGGGCATCAAAGATGCTATCTAAAGTTGATAAAAAAAATAGGGGCCGGCCCCCATGGCCGAGTGATTAAGTGTACGTGCTCCGCTTCGGCGGCTTGGGGTTTTGCTGGTTCGGATCCTGGGCGCGGACATGGCACCGCTCATTAGGCCATGCTGAGGCGGCGCCCCACATGCCACAACTAGAAGGACCCACAACTAAAATACACACCTATATATTGGGGGGTTTGGGGAGAAAAAAACAGAAAAAAAAAAAGAAGATTGGCAACAGTTGTTAGCTCAGGTGTCAATATTCAAAAAAAAAAAATAAAGATGTATGTTAAACTTACAAAGGTATCAGCAGATCTGAAAATGATGTTGGGAGGTGGGTGATATCTAGAACTGATAAACCAAGAAAGAGCCTGTGAGCTCGCAGAGAGATAAGAAGGTAACGAGGCAGAAAAACGGTTCAAGTGAAAACCGGTGGTTTCTCTGAGGAGTGAGACTAGGGGTGTGATGTGGGGGATTCCTGCTTTTCATCACTGAACAATCTCTTCAGGACTATTTAATCATATGCATAAGATTCTTTGATAAAGTTAAGAGAAAATGTTGAGCCCCAGCTATGGGCCAGGCACTGTGCTGGGTGAGGATGCACACAGTCCCTGTTCCCTTGGAGCTTTCCAGCCTGTGACTGTGACCACAGGAGACCCTCCCATCTCTCTGACTCTCACTTCTCTCTAGACTGAAACTGCAGTCATCGATTACACATTTCTCCCTAAAGGGACCTCAGAGGCACCTTGTCCAAAACCCCACGAATGCCTCGTTAGAGCCTGAGCTGTTGCCTCCCTCTGGGATTGCCTTGCTTCCTATCGTGATGGTGCTCAGGCCTCACCTCTTCCTGGAGGCCTTCCGGACTCCACCCGTGGCTCTGGGCTAGGGGCTCCTCCTCCAGTCACCCCGACCCGGCCCCTGCAGACCTCTAGCTGAGCATACGGCCTCTTGCTGACCCTCAATTAGAGGTAGGCAGGGTGTGTGGGCTGCTCACGTTGAATCTCTGATCCCCTGCACAGAGAATCTGGCACGAGGAGATGCTCAGCAAAAGTCTGTGCAAAGAAATGAATTCCTAATCCCTCTCACCTGCCAAACCCTGAGAGTTTTCCTCCATGTCTTACCTCAAGTTCACACCCTGTGTCCCGACTCTAGTGTGGCCCACACGGCTCTGCATGTCTGACCCGTCTTCCTTTCCAGTCTCTCATCTCTCGATAACCCCCTCTTTCTTCTCCCTGACTCATCCTTCACCCTATCACCCAAATTAGAAACGTGGGTCATTGGTGACCCCCTCACTTCCCCAGCTTCTGCCCTTCCTACTGCTGATGCTGACCTTTCTCCACCTCCACTGCCTGCCTCCTCCTCAGATCCCAACACCAAAGTCCACACAAACCTCGGACTTACTACCTGCTGGCGCTCAGTGCTGAGCGCTTTACACACATTCAGTCCTCACAGCCACTTTATGCACAAGTGGGTGTGACTCCCTCACAGACGAGGAAACTGACACAAGGTCATACAGCTATTAAGAGCAGTGCCACCACCTGAACGCAGATCTGATTGGCTCCAAACCCCATGATGCTAACCACTGTGCTGTCTGAAGTCACTTTAGGCCTCTAGCCCGACCACTGCAGCCATATTCCCCTCCAACCTGGACTTCTCAGTGACTCCAAAGTGAGTCTGCTCCATCCCCTACCTGCCTCTAGTCATGTCCAGACTCTAGGGTGGCTTTGAAGATCCTGCATGGTCTGATCTCTGCCTTCTCTTTTCATCTCTTGGTACCCAGCTACCCCAGAGCACGGCAGGCTCTTTTGGGCCTCAGGGCCTTTGCACATGCTATTTTCAATATCCAGAAAAATCTCTCTTCTGGCAAAATCCTACTCAGGCGTGACAGTCCAACTCAAATCTCCAGTATCATCTTCTCTGTAACACACCTTGCTGTCCACCCTACATTTTAATTTTTAGTGAACTCCTCAGACTCAGGGCCTAGCACAAGAGTAAGCCCTGAAGAGGGTACAATAAATATTGCAGGACTGATTTAAGGTGTCTGCATAAATTTGTTACCCCACGAATTTGGACAAGGGGAAAATCTATTCTCTGGTGGTTGGTTCCTGGCACATTTTGAATGCTGGCCGGTGTCCTGGGAGAGAAGGCCCTGAGAAGAAAGCCACCATGTCAGTGGGGATCGGAGCCCCCAGTATTAGAACCTGGGAGACCCAAGGCCCGGAGGGGCAGACGTCTTTGCTCATTGGTACAGAGAAGAGTGCAAAGCACAAAGGAGGCGCTCGGTAGTCATCTGTTGAAGCAGATTGCTTCTCCCTGCCAAAGTTCCAAGCATCAAACTGGGACATCTGGACGTGATTTGAGGGGTTATCTGCAGTTTGAGTCCTTTCCTGGGTACAAGGCCACTGCTCTTTCTGCGACTCCATGAACCCGCTGAATCTGCAGCCTTTATCCCAAGGTGTGCAGACGGGCCGTGCACACACACGCTCGCTCGTGCACCGCCCAGGGCGGAGGCTGGGTGTGGCAGTCAGGGTAGCACCCGCCCCTTGCCCCCGCGGGAATGGCGAGGGCTTTGGCTGGGGTAAGCCTGCCTTCTAGGCGCCGGGTTCCGGGAGCAGGAGCAGGAGCAGGGGCCCGGCCGATTCCCTGCCTCCTCTGCGCCCCGACCCCTCACTTTCACTTTCCCCGCCCCGCCCCCGCCCCGGTCCCTTCGCGCGCCCGCCCGCTCCCACCTGTCACCCCCATGCTGACCGAGGCTCTGTCGGGGAGGCGTGCAGCGGGCTGGTGGCTGCTGCCCCTCCGCCTCCAGTGCGCTCTTTGGTGGGGGCTGTTGGGGGCGGTGGAGACGCTGGGGGCGCCGTGCCTGTGATGCCGCCGCCTCTGTGACATCCCCTCCGCGATCCCCGCGAGCAGGGAACAGCAACACAGCGCAGGATTCCCATTGCGTAGATGGGCGGGGCCGTTGGGGGGTGTCCTCCGCAGAAGGCGGCCCCAACCCGCAGCCCGGGGCCCCTCTCTGAAGACCGGGAGGTTCGGCTCCTCCTCGGCAGACCCAGAGGGGTGAGGAGGGCAGCAACCGGTAAGCCTGGAGTCTGCTGGACTGGCTTTTGCGCCTGCTCTGGGCACACTGGCACAAGGCTGCCCCTCCATGTGCCCAGGATCCCTCCAAGAACCCACTGAACCTGCCATCTTTACCCCAAGGTGTGCACGTGTCCTCACACACACTTGTGTAAGCTTCAGGGGGTGTAGAGCCAGATTAGACAAGGCACCCTGTGTACTGGCAGCATCCATCCTCAGATAGGCCCCTACCCCATGACCAAGAAACCCCCTCTCCAAGTCAGCCATGGTCATGGGCGGGCACTCAGGAGGCAGCTGACAGGGCTAGGAGTCCAGGCCACAGGGACGGGAGTAGGGGGGCAGGCTTTGTTCTGGGCATGTGGTATGCTCCCACCTAGCCATGCCGGGTCAGTGCCCAGGCCTTGGCATCCTCCTCCTCCTCCCCTCAGCTTGGTGGTATTTGACCAGGGACTTCCCTGCTGCCACCGGGTGGGGCATCTTGCCTAACTGGTCTGAATGGATAGCCCAGAGGTGGGACTGGAAGTACTCTCTGGGAGGAGTGGTAGAAAAAGCAGCCCCATTCAAAGGCTGAAAACAGTCCGTGCCCCAAACAAGGGGCAGACTTGACAAGATCCCACCAAGAAGGCAAAGGGAGGCAGCTGTTAGCAGCTGAGATTCCGCAGCAGGCAGGCAAGAGTGCAGACAACCACGGCCTAAAAACATGTCACCAAACTTTATTGTTGCAAAGGGTTCTCTACAGCCTGAACTCTGTAACACCAAGGCTGCTTGTAATACAAAGTTCCTCCATCCTGGGGCTGGGGTCTCTCCCTGGGGAGCACTGTGGCTCCATGTGAACAGCTGGACAGACGTGGAGATGAGCTTCTCCCAAGGAGGAATCTCAAGGGACACTCCCCGACCCCCAGGAGCTGAGGCTACCAGGCCCCTCCCTCCCCAATGATTCACAGTTGATTAATGCTACATGAGTCCTGATCAGCTCCCTCCAAAGAGGAGGCTGGGCAGGGGCAATGGGGATGGGGGGGACTCATCTAAGAGAAAACTGGAGATTTGGGAGTCACACGTGTGGAGACAGGTTGAGACAAGTCCCTTCACCCCATCTCCTGACCTGCTTGTGCTCATGCAGAGCCGCGGACCTGCCCTCCTGGAGGGCAGCCATGAAAGTGCTTTGAGGTCATCAGAGTGCAAAGTGCAGCTGGCAGAGCCCCCAAGACCAGGGGCAGGGCAGGCAGGGTCAGTGTGCAGTGATGCCCGAGCTGGCTCTCGGGAAGCTGGTGTGCAAGATGTTGAAGCCGTGGCCTGGGAAGAGTTGTGCCAATGTCTATCACGCCCACCCTCAGACAGTTCCTGTGGGTGGGTCTTGTGTCACCCTTCACTTTTACAGATGAGGGGACTGAGTGCCAGCCAGTCAGCAGCCGTGCTGGGCCTGCGGGTGGGGCTTGGGGCCTGCTGCTCTGGGGAAGAGTGGCCAACAGCAAAGGGGCACATGCTTGGGCACTGAGAACCATTCCACTTAACACCTTCTTTGGTCCTTGACCGAGGCTGAGTTCAGCTCAGGACCTGTGTCGCAACACCCGGAAAAGTATGCTATGTGCTCCTAGGGAGACATCCCAGTGTCAGGAATCCCGCCCACCCTGACTTTGTCTGAAGAGTTCCTAGATCTAAAACGGGGTGTGACGGCCAGACAAGGGGGTCAGAGGGTTCCCATTAGGCCAAGGGTGGGCACACCTGCCACCCCGCTCCTGTACTAGACCGGGTGCGGGTCCTTAGACAGTCGACACCCTCACAGATGCCCGGAGGCCAAGGAGCTCTTCCACCTCTCCCAACGTGGGCCGGGAGCTGCTCTCCCCTGACCGCCAGCAAGCAGTCACCGATCCCAACGGGTCAGGCCAGCTTGTTTGGCCCAGGGCAGAGAAGAGCCCCTCTGCTCCCTCCTGCCTTCCTCTTCCTCCTGTGGGCACCGAGTGTTCTCCTGGCGGGGTCTGGCAGGACTCAGGTAGGACATCCTAGGAGGTGTTTTGCTAGCTCCTACTTTGCTGCTGCCAGCCCCGATCCCACCGCTGCGCCAGGAGGCGGCAGGTCCCTGGGAGCAGACTGAGCACGCGTCTCAGGGGCAGCACTGAGCACCGAGAAGGAAGGCTGCTTCTGGCAGAATGGAGCCAGGAGCAGAAGGGTGGGTTAGGGCCTGTTCTCCAGCTGGCCATGCTTGACCCTCCAGCTCCAGGCGAAGCTGCCATCAGGGGCCAAGGTGCACTGCAGGTCGATGCCCGAGTCTGGCACCTCCATGTCATAGCGTACAGGCTGCCCGTCCTTGGTCACCAAGCTGAAGGCTGCAGCTGGGATCTGGGGGCAGAGCAAACCAGGGGGCCTGAGACAGTGGCATGGGGCTCCGAAGTGTAAGGTGATGGTCTCCTTCTGCGCTGGGAGACACCTCCCTTCTGCCAAGTAGGCCGCCCTGAGGGCCTTATCTGCCTTCCATTCTGGACAACCTGGAGAATCTCACCCGGCCCAAGTGTGGGTCCTGGGGACCCCTCAATCACCACTGCCAGTTTTGCCCTGAGACCCTGGGGGACTTGCAAGGCCAACTACTCCCTAGGGAGCCAATTCTACGTGTTAAAAAGCCTTCCTCCTGTAGGGCTGGGCCAGGCACGCTGGATTTTGGGACTCCACCCCTAAGCGCGTGCCTGCCCCCTTACCTGGCTGCTGATGCCAGTTGCGATGTCTCCCACCTTGACCCGGTGGAACTCCCGGATGTGCAGGTGTTCACCATTGAGAGACTGTATTTGGACTTTCACACCTGGAAGGCAGGCAAGGTGAGTATCAGGAGAGCGCTGCTGGCTCGCCAAGGTGCCCTTTGTGCAGGAAGCAGGTGGGCGGCGGGGAGGCTACAGGCATGGCATCAGGCTGAGGGGCCCTAGCAGTGTACACCTCTCAGCTCCTCCTGCCGTTTCCTGTCAGCACCTGGAGCTTTGCCCGCACAGTGCAGAGCTGCGGCCGATGCCACCCGCACACGAAGCAGGAGAAATCGGAAACAAAGATGGTCACATTAGACTGTGGGCAACTTAGATGGTAACAGGCTCCAAGCTGGCGTGGCCTCTGGCCAGACCATGGCGGCTTGCTGCCATGAGTCACACTACCCTGGGGAGGGCTGGGGACCTGTGAGCTGATGAAGCCCTGGTCTGCCAAAATCACAACATAACCTGTGCAGCCGAGCTTGAAAACTAAGTTCTAAGATGTCTGTCTCTCTCAAATTCTGACTTCAAATCCCAGAGGAGGATCCCAGCAAACCTGTGGCTGAATTCTCGATTAAAATGCTCGTGGGGTCCTGTTCTTCCTTCTCCCTTCAGAACACATTCATCGCTCAGTTTCTCGACTCCAGGCCGGGAGAGACTGCTCTCCACGCCAAGCTGGGGAGGTTCTGGGACTCCATCTGTAGCCCATGAGGGGCAACGTTCCTTCACTGCCCCACCAGGAAAGGCTCCTGGGTGATCAGGGCCTTTGATCTAAACCAATTTACTAGGCCACTGTGCCAGGGAAGGGAGACAGAAACCTCTCAGACTCCTAGTCCCAAGCAGATCCGGTGCTGTGGGGGCTGCTGAGCAGGTGATGCTGGACTGTACCATTGAAATAGCTCGGCGTGTCCGTGGGCCGTCCCCGGGCCAGCACCATGTTCCAGCTGGAGCTGCGAGCTTCTGCCTGGCTGCTCCACGAGTGCACGCCAGAACTCAGGGTGTCCCGCGAGCTCTGAGAGGCCTTTGATGGGTTCTGAAACAACAAGGGTGGGCACAGACTCAGGCCCCCGGGCTCAGGGAACCATCCTGGCCTTGGTCTGCTTTGGAGCAAAGAGGCCCTGGGCCCTCCCCCGGGGCAAGGAACAGCTCACGTCCTAGACAGAGCAGGGCTCTGCTGGGAACTTGTGAGGCTAAGCAGGGGGCTGCGCTCGTGAGGGGCCCCTGTGAGAGTATCTCCATGGAGACCAACGCCTAAGCCTTCTTCCCCACTACCCCTAGGAGCGAAACCATGCCCTGATTCCCGGCGTGTTGAAGATGGACTGTCTTACTCTGAGAAACCAGGACCCCTGCCCTGGTGAGGACGCCTCTCCATCACCCTCTCTCTACCCACTACTTGCCCACAGCCTGTTCACCAGAGAACACAAAGCCACTTGCTCTGTGCCCTGGCTCCTGGTCCACAGCCGACTCACCTTCTCACTGTCATCTGACAGGGAGAGGCTGTCAACGCTGAGGCACGAGAGGATTTGCTCCTGTTCCTCCAGAGAAAACGGCTGAGACAGGCTGTTCAGAAATAATTCTGCAGAGGAAAGCAGAACCCAGCTGTGAGAGACTGGGAGGGTCCAGCTGTGCTGTCAGGGCTCTTCCTGCACAGGCTGCGGGAGCTGACCTCTGGGGAAGGGGCTAGAAGAGAGGCCATGCTGGCTGGAAAGAGGACGAAGCACCGGCTTGGTGGGCCCGAGGCTGCAGCTGTGGCTGCCCGTACCTATTTCCAGCTGCTGCAGTTCCTGCTCGGGCAAGGTTGCCTTCCGCTCTGATGGGCTGGGGCTTTTGGCGGGAGCCGGGTCCAGGGAGGACAGAGGCAAGGGCTCCCATGTCCCCGACTCCTCCTTGCCCCAGTTCAGGCCTGGAGACTTGTTCCGCTCTGGAGGCTTTGGGGGTAGAGGAGGTTGGAGCTTGGGGGCCCCGCCTGTCGTGTCCTCAGCTGGCTGGGGCCCCGGAGCCCCTGGCGAGAGCTCCCTGGGCTGGGCACTCAGGGTCTGGCGAGAGTGGGCCGGGCTTGGCGGCGAGTGGGCATGGTGTGGCGGTGGATGTCTTGGCTCCTTATACTCTCCCCTCCAAGGGCTCCTCAGACCGCCCACTACAAAACAGAGAGCACAGTGGTCAGATGGAAATGAGTCAGCACAGACTCCAGGCCAGGCCAGGCGGCCTTTCCTGGGCAAGGGAGGGCTGGAAGCAAGCAGTGAGGGAGGACTCTTGCCCCACTAAGGGACTCGGTTCAGGAGGGCAGCTTGCAGTCTCTGGAGGAGGCCTCTTCCATAAGATGGCCTCCTATAACAGGAAAAGATTCTGTCTTTTATTCCACTTTCCTTCCAGGTAACAATTGCAAATTTAAAAATTACAGAATATGGGGCCAGCCCAGTGGCATAATGGGTTAAGCTCATGCACTCTGCTTTGGCAGCCTGGGGTTCGCAGCTTCGGATCCTGGGTATGGATTTACACAGCACTCATCAAGCCATTCTGCGGTGGCATCCCACATATAAAAAATAGAGGATTGGCACAGATGTTAGTTCAGAACAGTCTTCCTCACCAAAAAAAAAAAAGAAGAAAAGAAAGAAAAAAATTACAGAATTTGCTCCAGAGAAGGACTTTGTTAATGTTAATATTAAAGAGAAGATTCAAAAACAGCTCTGGGTTGACACCAACTCTGAGTTCCCAAGTAAACTGGCGTCCCTGACCCTCCATCTCTCCTACTCATCCCTCCTCACAGTCAGCTCCTCCTGACGGCACCATTTCTCTGGAGTAGGGGGCATTCAGCCCCAGGGCCATGATAACTACCATCTATGTCTGGGCGGCTCTGCGAGGCCTCTCTCATTTATTCCTTTTTCGTTCCCAACCACTGCCTTTCCCTGGCCCACCCCCCAGGTGGCTATCGTGTCACTTTGGTTTGATCACGTTCTTGCAAACTGTGTGTTGTTTTCACTTATTGATTTTTAGTTTATAAAAGGCATTGTGTTCCAGGCCTCGCTCTGTTGGGCCTCTTTTCACCCAGCACTATGGTTTTAAGGCTCAGCGATGCTGCTCTGTGAACATCAAGTAGCTTTCACTGCTGCGTGGTGCTCCACGGGCATCCCCGCTGTGGCCTCTCCTCTCTCCCAGGGAGGGACACCCGATGGAAGCCAACTCCCTGCCCACAAATGGCGCTGCAGTGCGTGTCCCCTGAGAGAGCTGCTGAGAATTCGTTTGGCGGAACGCCCCGGAGTGGAGCGCTGGGTCCCAGGTCTGCATGTGCTCCTGCCCTGCACCCCCCCACCACTCGACACTACCAACTTTCCGGTTTTTCCCCCTCAAAGGGCTGAGAAGTGATACGTGGCTCTCTTGCACATTCTCAGATGACTGATGAGTTCCAGCCCCCTTTATGTATGGCAACCCCATCTTTGAGCATTGCCTCTGCACCAAGGCACAGTACTCAGCACTTTACTCACATCACCTCCATCTGCCCAACAAGCCTGAAGTTGGTGTCATCCCCAGGCTCTAGATGGGAAACTGAGGTTCTGAGCGGTCGAGTAGCTCGCTCTTGACTGCCACACTGCCCTGCGGCCTCTCCCTGCCCCACAGCCAGTGCACGGCTCTTACCGTGCTGCAGCGCCAGGCTGACCTTCCCCCCCAGCTCCACCACGGATGCTCGGTGGACAGGCTCTTTCCTCAGCCCCTCCTGGATGGCCTGGGCTGTAAGAGGGGCGCACGAGGGTGGGATCTCCCGCACAGGTGGAGGCTCGCTGGCAATCTGGGCATCAAAAGACAACACGTGAGGCCTGCCTCCCACCTCACTTCCCAGCACCCACCTTCTGTGCTGGCTCCTCCCCACTCCCCCTACCCTGCTGTGTTGGGTTCTCTCACAAGGACTGGAGTGGCCTGGCTAGAGTTGGGGCTTGGACTTCTCCCAGAAACGGGGCCAGGTAGGACAGGCCAGAGCTAGGCAGCAAGGGGCCCATGACCTCCAGGCCCAGGCTGTCAGGAGGCAGGCAGAGGTGGCCCAGGGTAAGCACAGAGGATCCCTCACCTGGGATCTCCCTTTGGAACCCCAGCTTTGGGTGGCAAGTATTTTAGTCAGGATCCCACATTTAGGATGAGGCCTCTCCCTGGCTCCCTGCTCACATCTGCCACTGAGGAACAGCCAAAATGGGAGGCAACCTCAAGTGTGCAGCCCAGGACCGTGGCCCTGCTGGCTTTCCCTCTTGGCCGTCCCAAGTGCTGTCACTGACCTTGAGGCAGAGCGGCCCTCGGAAGTACTGCGTCCAAGGGTGGCAGCCGTTGAGCATGTGCAGCATCATGCAACAGCTGCTCCAGACGTCGACCTTGGCATCGCAGGGCTTGCCCATCACCACCTCTGGAGCCATGTGCGTCTCTGTGCCGGGGATGTAGTCCCCTGGGAGGGCGAGGTGAGCCAGAAAAGTCAGCTGTGAACTCTGATGGGCAAAAGCCTCGGCAACGACCACCCCAGTCAACTCCTGAGACTCCTTGAATTGGTCTCTACTTTAAAGTGTCCAAATCAAACTTGCTGGGGACGAGCTAAGTCGGGGGCTCTGCTGGGGACTGGTACAAAGAGTATAGCATCCAAAATAGGGGGTCTGCCCTGTGGAACAACCCTTCAAGTGCTTTTTAAAAATGGGGAGGGATCCAGACATTGACAATTAGGTTGTAGAAGACTAATTAATGGTATGATCTTCCCGAAATTTTAGTAAGTGAAAAACACAATATTAGAAAACTTATTTGTGGGGCTGGCCCCGTGGCCGAGTGGTTAAGTTCGCGTGCTCCGCTGCAGGCAGCCCAGTGTTTCATTGATTCGAATCCTGGGCGCGGACATGGCACTGCTCATCAAACCACGCTGAGGCAGCGTCCCACATGCCAGAACTAGAAAGACCCACAACGAAGAATATACAGCTATATACCGGGGGACTCTGGGGAGAAAAAGGAAAAAAATTTTTAAAAATTAAAAAAAAAAACCCAAAAAACATTTGCACAGAAGACTGGAAGGATCCACACTAGATGTTAACAGTATTGT